TACGGTCAAGCATCAGACTGAAAGAGCGAGTTCATCACTTACCTGACAAGGTAATGATCACTGCACTCACATAGATAAACAATGCCATATGCATTTCATGGCAGGTGGCGTTGAGTGAGCGTTGATGGTGTGGTTGGAGAATGGTTCCTGGGAGGCTATAAGATACGGTGAGGAGGGCTAAACAGGAAACAACATACAGAAGTTAACATATACTGTGAGGGAGCAGGTCTGAGGGTTATGTACAAACGTTGTGTCTGTGTCATTACACGTCATCTTCTCTGCTCTGCCATCTCGTTCCTCCATTGGTTCTCTTCCATCACTGAGATGTCTTCGTTCAGGCGGGTGTCTGACACCTGCAGCAAGTTACACACGTATTTCAGTTTATCCAATACAATTGAATGAGATCCACATCTCTTTGCCATCTGTGCGTGTCAATGTGCCTGTGGAAATGAACTTGCTTTCCTCTTGGAACGACGTATCCTGATTCAATATCTTCGCAGTTCCCTAGGCAAAGACCGTCAAGGGTCTCGGGCATGTTTCCTTACTCCATACGCCTTATTATATTCCCTCCAAAACAATAATAAATAGATCATTTTCCATCAACGACTGTTTGTGGGACACTGCTGTGCGCAATTGGCTGCTACGTTTCGCCCACAAATATACGGCCAATTCACATTACAGTATAATCTGTGAAGCGCGATGAGAAGTTTAGAAGACGGGAAAAGCGATATATCGAATGCAATGATTATTTATTATTATTGGAAGAAACAACAACAACAACAACAACAACAAGATTCCATTTATAGAGCGCCTTTCACGTCAGGAGGACGTCCCAAGGCGCTGCACAGTTGGGTCATGACCCGAGCAGGGGGAAATGGTCAGGGTGAGGGGAGGGAAGGGAGGGAGAGAGGAGGGGGGAAATGGTCAGGGTGAGGGGAGGGAAGGGAGGGAGCGAGGAGGAGGAAGAGAGTCGAGAGGGGAGCTGAAGGCTCGGTCAAAGAGAAAGGTTTTGAGACCGGCCTTGAAGGAGGAAAGGGAGGAAGCAAGGCGAAGGCACTGGGGGATGGAGTTCCAGAGTCTGGGGGCTGAGAGGCTGAAGACCCGACCACCGATAGTAGGGCGGTTGGGGCGGGGGACGTGGAGCAGACCGGAGCCAGAGGAACGGAGGGTACGGGCAGGTAGGTAGGGGGATAGTAGGTTGGAGAGGTAGGAGGGAGCAAGGCCGTGAATGGCCTTGTAGGTGAGGATGAGGATCTTGAAATCAATCCTCTGGGGGATGGGGAGCCAGTGGAGGCGAGTGAGGGTGGGAGTGATGTGATCCCGAAGCCTGGTGCGGGACAGTACACGAGCTGCAGAGTTCTGAATGACCTGCAGATTGTGGAGGGAGGTGGAGGGAAGGCCGGCGAGGAGAGAGTTCCCATAGTCCAGCCTTGAGGTGACAAAGGCGTGAACCAGGGTTTCAGCGGCGTGAGGGGTGAGGTAGTGCCGTAATCTGGCGATATTCCGGAGGTGATGGAAGGCGGTGCCAGTTGTAGTGCGGATGTGAGGGAGAAAGGACAGCTCAGGGTCGAACAAAACGCCGAGGTTCCTGACTGGCTTTGAGAGGTGGAGAGTGCAGCCTTGGATGCTGATGGTGTCAGCGCCTGAGGTGCGGAGGCGCTGACGTGAGCCAATCAGGAGGGCCTCGGTTTTTCGCACGTTGAGCTGAAGAAAGTTGTCTCTCGTCCAGGACTCGATGTCGGACAGGCAGGCTGTCAGGACATCGGTGGTCGTGGAGTTGAGAGTAGAGGAGGAAAGGTAGAGTTGGGTGTCATCCGCATACATGTGGAAGTTAACCCCATGTTTGCGGATGATGTCACCAAGGGGGAGCATATAGAGGGTGAAGAGGAGGGGACCGAGGACAGAGCCCTGAGGGACACCACATGAGACAGTACGGGGGGTGGAGGAGAAGCCATTCGTTGAGACGAAGTGAAGACGGTGGGAAAGGTAAGAGCTAAACCATTCAAGGACAGTGCCTTGAAGGTTGAGGTGGGAGGACAAGCGGTGGAGTAGGATAGCGTGGTCGACCGTATCGAATGCTGCCGATAGGTCGAGGAGGACGAGGAGACAGAGGGAGCCCTGGTCACAGATGGTCAGGATATCATTGGTGACCTTGACCAGGGCAGTTTCTGTGCTATGAGCAGCACGGAAACCTGACTGAAGGGGTTCGAAAAGAGAATGGGTGGAGAGGAAAGAGCGCAGTTGGGAGGCGACAACTCTTTCCAAGACCTTGGAGAGAAAGGGGAGGTTGGAGATGGGCCGGTAGCTTGATAGCTGCGACGCATCAAGGGAGGGTTTTTTCAGGGTGGGCGTGATGATGGCAGTTTTTAATGGAATGGGGACAGAGCCAGAGGAGAGGGACAGGTTTATGATGTCAGTGATGTGTGGGGCAAGAAAATGGAGCTGGGAGATAAGGAGTGGAGTGGGGATGGGGTCAAGGGAGCAGGTGGTTGGTTTTAGGGATAGGATGAGTTCAGTGACAGAGGGTGGGGAAACGGGTACGAAGGTGTGTAGGGGAGGATGGGTAGGAGTCGGAGTGTGGGAGGGAAGGGGTGGGTGGTGGGTGGAAGTTGGAGGGGAAGTGACCGCGGAGCGGATTCCCTTGATCTTGGATTCAAGGAAATCCAGCATCTCCTCGCAGTGAAGGTTGGAGGAGATGACCTGCGCGGGGTGGCGGGGGGGACGGAGGAGTCGGGATGTGGTGGAAAACAGTAGCCTGGGGTTGTTCTTCGCCTCCAGGATTATCCTGGAGTAGAAGGACGACTTGGCCGAGGCTAGAGTGGAGCGGTAAATTTTGAGGAGGTCCAGCCAGATTTGTCGGTGGACCGTTAGGCCAGATTTGACAAAGGTGCGCTCAGCAGCCCGCACCTGGCATTTCAGTGAGCGGAGGTGGGTGGTGTACCAGGGGGAGGAGCGGGAGTAGGAGACAGTGCGGGAAGTGATGGGGGCAAGAGTATCGAGTGTGGAGGAGAGGATATTGTGGAGGAGGGAGAGAGGAGAAGAGGGGTCGGTGAGGGTTGAAGGCCAGAGGGAGAGGAGTTCAGAGGACTCCAAGGCATCGGTTAGGGATTGTGGGGGTAACTTCTTCCAAGGGCGGTAGAAGATGGTGGTGGGTCTGGTGGAGGTGGGGAGGGGGGTGGAGGTGGTGAAGGAGATGAAGTAGTGGTCGGAGATGGCCTTGTCGGTAATAGTGACATCCGAGACACTGAGGCCCCGGGTGATCACCAAATCGAGTGGGTGGCCGTGACTGTGAGTGGGGGAGTTTATGTGTAGGGAAAGGTTGAGTGAGGAGAGCAGGGAAGAGAAGTCTGTGGAGATGGAGCAGGAGGGGGTGAAGTGTAGGTTAAAGTCGCCCAGGATGATGAGGCGATCGTAGCAGAGGCAAAGAGATGTGAGGAGTGTTGAAATGTCAGAGATGAAGGTGGGAGAGGTTTTAGGGGGCCGGTAGAGGAGGAGGATTTTAAGGGAGAGGAATGAGGGGTGGGAGAGGGTGAGGTGCTCGAAGGAGGGGAAAGAGCCAGAGGAGTAGGGGGATAGGGCAAGTGGTGTCCTTGAGATAAGGGCAACACCACCGCCACGTTGGTTGGGGCGGGGGATGTGGTGGGAGGTGTAGCCGGGTGGCGTGGCCTCTCAAGGATGAGATCGTTGATGACCAGGGCCTTGTTGCAGAGGGAGCGGACATTTTGCAGTCCGATGTGGAGGGAGCGGTTGACAGTAGGGTGTGTGGGAGGGAAGGGGGTCCAGGTTGTGAGGCAGGGGTGGGGGGAATGGGATGAGGGAGGAGAGGTTGACTCCCCGGGTCTGTGACCGGGGTGGGTGGCGAGAGTGGTGGGGAATGGGGCAGTCGGTGTGGCTGCTGCTGGACAGCCAACGCCGAGTGCCGCGGTGAGCGCGGCGGAGGATTCCCAGACTGGAACAGAGGGAGGTTGTGGGAGGGTCAAGTGGGGATAGAAGACGAGAGGGACGGAGAGAGAGGAGGAGAGAGCGGGAGAGATGGAGAGGGGGGAGGGTTTGGGGGGAGAGAGGAGGCGGGAGGGAGGGAGGGGGTGAGGGGGCTCGGGTCAAAGCGGCAGCCATAGTGCGCACGCGGGGACCGGGAGAGGGCGGTCAGGTGGATGGCATTATCCCGTAGATTGGGGCATCGAACCCAACAGGACCATAGTGGGCTCTGATGTGAGCCCTGGGGGGGGGGCGCGGAGGTTTTTTTTTTTTTTTTTTTTTTTTGTGCGCGCGCACTCACCTGAAAACTAATCTATGACGTCGCAGTTCCCCGCTCCGCCCCCACCCCTCCCCTCGCTGTAGGCCCAGGCTCCTCCCCGCGCTGTCCTGCTGCCGCTCCCCGACTGGCTGCACTCGCTCCGGCGTCGAGTTTAAGTACCTGGGTCAGTAGGCCCAGGCTCCTCCCCGCGCTGTCCTGCTGCCGCTCCCCGACTGGCTGCACTCGCTCCGGCGTCGAGTTTAAGTACCTGGGTCAGTAGGCCCAGGCTCCTCCCCGCGCTCTCCTGCCGCCGCTCCCCGACAGGAGAGGAGAGAAACAAGACTCTGAATCTGATTTAAGTACTTAATATTTTCTTTTATTATTAATATCCAGGATTGGTATGCCATCTGTCTCGTTGCGGGAATAACATACTGGTATCTCCAGAAGCTGCAATATGTAAACATTGCTGTTTTATAATAATCATCCTTGCCTTCGATATAGCACATAATGATGCATTCGAGATGTGTCGATGAGCTTCAAAGGATATAATAATCATTATGATAATCATTGCGTTTAATATATAACCTGATCACGTCATCGAGACATCTCAAATCGCCTCACACGATATCACGTAATATGAATTGTTTCGATGTTTGTTGGGCGCAGTGTGGCGGCAAAATTACCCCGAATTAAGAGGCAGAAACTAAGAGGCAGTGAGTGCTGAGCAGTTACTGTGATGAACAAGAGGGGAATTGCCGGCTGATCACTGGAGGTTTGTGTACGGTCTCTCCATGTGATTGTCTAACTGTGTCTCCACTGCACACAAGTAGGTGGCGGCGTCTGTCACTTCTGTGCGTGTGATGCTCAGATTACTGCCCTTCTCTCTATAGTTCATTGTAGCTCTGATCCTCTTCTTCTGCTGCTCTCCTGTCTGTCCTGTTACCAAGTGTTTGAGGGCCTGGTTCGGATTCTGTCTATACCATTGTGACGCCTGTGATTCTGTTGTGGAACAGCTGATAATTACTTGTTCCTTCTCCGCAACTGTCACAGTTAGTGGCGACTGGGAGACTGTATCCTGACCACCGACTCCTGGTAAATACAAAACAATTTGTTTGCGAAACTCACCCATTAATTTTAGTAGAATTACAAAAAATTTCTGTAAAGCACACTCACCCCAGAGGGTCACAGCAGCTTTCAGGAGCAGGAATACTAAAGTGTAATCGCACTTCATAACGAATCTTTCAGCGCTTTGATGAACAAATGCAAGTGTCCTTTGAAACCTTAATCAACTTTCCTCACTCCACACGCGTCTGTTTACAGAACACGAAGGAGAAATCCGATAGTTAATTGACGAATCGCTTTCAAGGTGTAGTTTTCCCTCCAAGAAATTGGGACTCGGCCCGAGACTGTTTGATTATCTCTGTTTTGTCCAATTGATTCTATAGTTTCGACCATACAATACGCAGTAACTACACGTTACTGTTTATCATGTGAAGCGCTTTTACATGCCTCAGAGATGATTTAAGACGCTGTATAAAACGTCAAATATTGTTATGATAGTCACAAAAAGGCAGGACGAGGACTCTGTGGAAGACCCTGAGTGTGTGCAGAAGGCCAGACTATGTGTTGGCATCAAGTCCACGGGGACAGTTGTGAATTTGATAATAAGTTGAAACGAGTCATTGCGAGTGTCCAAAGCGAATGGGGTTCAAAGCGACATCACATGATGTCAGCAATTTCTCAGATGTCTCTGCCCCAATTAGTTGAAAGTTTCCCTCCTGCCCGTTTCCGCTCTATGCATCTGGGTTTCCGAAGTTTGGGTACAAGACACAATTATTTCGGGCAAAACTCATTACTACAAGTTATTTTTCTTTGCTGTTTATTTAGCTGAATGACGTTTAATATATTAACATTTATTGTTGTTAAGCTGGTGTATGAAATATGTGGATACCCATCAGCCTCATTGTGGATATCCCAATGAAACAGAGATAGAATAATGATCCATGTTTTTGGTATAGCGCCTTATCACGCCTTCGAGACTTCTAAATTCGCTACACAGGTTATTCTGTCAAGCGTAGTGACAGCGTCTTATACGAGCGAAACACAGTAACGAATTGCGCACATCAGTGTCACACAAATTGAGGTGGTTAGAGTGACAATATCTTGTGAAACAATCTGATTTTTATCATTTTTCATAATTAATTTCCATGCGTCCACGCTACACCTGGAATTTTTCCATATATTGGAGAGGAATGCGTTCTCTTTCTCTCTCTCTCTCCCACTCTCTCTCTCTCTCTCTCTCTCTCACTCTCTCTGTGTGTCTTTCTGTGTCCCTCTCTTTCTCACTCTCGATCTTTCTCTCTAACATTACCAATTCTGTTCACTGAGATTCGGAGAGCATTAATAAAAATCATGATCCTCACCTTTAACATAGTGCCGTATTACGGTTTGAAGACATCTCAAAATGATTTTCAGATTACAGAGTGAAGAGAATATGTTAATTGAATTTTTGGAATAGGCAAGTTTAGAAACGTCAGACTGTGCCTTCTGATATCTCTTGGAAATTAAATCGCTAAAACGTGGATTAATTTCCAACGCCTTATCACATGTTGGAGAAGTCTCAAAGCATTTTGCTGAACATACGTGACACGCAAAATACATTATGTTTTACTTGCGAAACGCGGCAGCCATTTCTGCACAGCAGTGACGCAAAAATATTCGCAAATTGACCGAATTCAATTTTTTTCTTTGTGAAGGGAATACTACCCAGAAATAATGGGAACCAGCAATCGACTATCATCTCCTATTTACCCCTCGGTAAACATTGGTGAGTATGTAGATCATTGAAACTTGCCTAAGTTCATGAGTGTTTGCTGAGTTTTTGTACGGGGAAGCTGCCCTCCTGTAACAGTGTGGGCTCCAGGGCACAGTAATATACAGCGCTGTCACCCACAACAGCCCAGTGTATCTGCAGCTTAATTACTTTATTCTCCTCGATCAGCTCGGCAACGAAACGGTCAGGAGGATTTTCTGCCTTTCCAGAGGCATATATCCTGAACAAGTACTGAAGAGCTCCATCCGGATTTTGCATGTACCAGAAGGCCGTCACCTTTGTGGAATAACTGCAGTTCAGAGTCACATTTTGACCTTCAAATTCCGTTATCTCGGGAGGATATTGGGTTACTACAACTTGCCCGCCAATTCCTGCAACAGCAACAACAACAATGCATTTTTTTGAACCACGGTAAACGATCATTTCCATTTAGAATAATATTTCTTCCCACCTCATTTAGCATTTTGTCACAAAGATTAAGCGTCTCAAAGGCTCGCGGAATACATTGTAAAGTGAATTGACTATATTTGGTGGACGAATAGAAGCAGCCAATTAAATATATCAATGTCAACAAGCACCATAGTTGATTGATTGACCAAATTATTTTTTATTGATTTGTTCTTTAATGGATTATCGCCCTCGGAAAGCGATCCGCCAATCGCCTAAAAACCGAGTTCCAACTTATGCCGGTAAACAGAGACTTGAGGGCAGAGCAAATTTGCTGAAAGTTTTGAGTTGCCCGTAATCGAACACAGGTTCTCTCTATTGAAAGGTGAGTGCTCTAAACACGAAGCATCTGATATTATACAATGTGAAGGTTATGCGCTGGGCATGTCCACACAGACTTACTGGCTATGGTGAGGATGGCTATCAGTAACTGGCAGAGAGCTGTCATGTTGGCTGCTGAGGTGTGGACAGATAATGGAATGTCTTCCTTTGTATATCGCTGTGTTGCTGCTTCATTGATAAGTTGTGAGGCAGCGGCTGATCTGACGTGTTCAGTGGTTTATTACCTCCAATTGTAGGCGTTTACCACGGACCAGAGGATCTTGAAGTTGATCTGCCGCGGATTGGGAGTCAATCGGTCTGGGCGACGATGGAAACATAGACTCGCGTTACACCGCTCAGCAATTTACTTTGTATTATAATCTGTGAATCTCCTTGAGACGTCTCGGAGAAGTTATCAGGCGCTATATCAAATGAAATGATTATTATAATTTTTGTGAATGCAGTCATTTGGTCGATGAATCGTTGAATCGTGCAGCCAAACCGGAAAGATTAAGGAATTACTTTCTAACATCAAATCTGAGTTGATATCCTGCCTCCGTTCTTAATATTTTCACTTATGTGCCAAAATGTTGTTTGTTCAGGATAGAAGTTTGCACTTGAAGCTGACAGTCTGTATTTAAATTCAAACTCAGAAGTGTGTGAGGGCTGTATTGTCGACAATCCCGAGATGAAGCATCTGTTATCGCTGCCAAGAATGTTAGTGACAGAAATGAAAATGACAAGTTATACAAATTGTAGCTCATGTTATATGTGTGTTTAGTGTGCCATCTGCTGGTGCATTTTGGCCACAGCAAGTGTGCAATTGGAGAGACTTGATAGGAAGTTGTTCCTGTCCCGCCTTAATTATCGCGTTTTGAATTGGCGCTAAGTAATGCAATTAGATTTTTTAAAAAGTTTTTCTACTTATTAAAAAACACAGATGAAGAATTGCACGGGCAGTCCTGCCTATAAAGCAAGGCATTCGAAGATAATAATAATAATAATAATAATAATAATCCTTGCATTTGATATAGCGCTTTTCACGTTGGGAGGACGTCCCAAAGCGCTTCACAGAACACACTGTAAAGTGATTGACTGTATATTTGTGGGCGAACGCGGCAGCCAATTGCGCACAGCAGTGTCCCACAAACAGTCGTAGATTGAAAATGACCAATTAAATTATTGATTTTGGTTTTCTGGAGGGAATATTATTAGGCTCTGTGTGGAGTAAGGAAACTTGCCCAAGGTTTCGCCCTCTGCCTGGAATTGAACTCAGTTCTCTCACTTGCAAAGCGGTGCTCTAACCACTGAGCTGCAGGACTCCACAATTCCGTGATAATAACATGATGATCTTAATTAAGAAGTTGAATAATAATAATCCATGAATTTGATACAGTGCCAAATCGCAACTTCGTGACGCCTCAAAGAGCTTCAAATAATGTACTGTAAAGGAATTCACCGCATGCTTTGTGAGCGAAATATCCGCGTCCCATTGGATTGAGAGACCAATTTATTATTAATATTATTATCTTGAATTAGTACCGCTGGAAAAGCGATCCGCCAATCGACTAACAATATGTTTCCTAGTTTTACTGCCGGAAACGAACCCAGTTACTTCCAATTGCGAGGCGAGTGCTTCAATCGCTGAGCTACAGAAGTCCACGTGGCAGTTTTTGTAGAGCGGAATCGCTGATCTGTGCCTCAGTGGGGCTCAGTGCACAGTAATACCCCGCGGAGTCTGAAACTCTCACTTGGATTATTTTTAATGGGACTGTTCTCTCCGCTTTAGACACATTCGTTGAGAAACGTTCATTTGCAATGTCTGCATATTGCGGTTTGCTGTTGGTGGATGCCCAAAGGATATATTCTGCAGCTTTGCTGGGATAGTGGCGGTACCAGAACAGATCGGAATTGGTGCTTGTGGTCGTATAATTACACTGCAGATAAACAGCTTTCCCTTCATTCACTGTCGCTGTAGATTGGAGCTGTGTCACAGCGTCGTCTCCACAATGTCCTGGGAAACAGGCAAAAAGCAGTGTTCAATACAATAATAATATTAAGCTTATGTTTGATAAAAACGTTTCATCACGACGTTGAGACGTCTCCAAGCGCTTCGTAGAGTGCATGATAACTGTATTTTCGGGGTGATACGCGGCAGCCAATTGCACGTATTAATGACTCCTATTCAAATTGTGTTGAATTGTACTGAATTGTGCGATTTGATTGTGATGACATTTGATGGGATTGTTATTCCGGTGAAACAACTCGCCATCGACTAACAACCGGATTCCTACTTATTGCTACGTAAATATATTGTGTGGTGCAATAGTAATAATAATAATAATCCTTGCATTTGATATAGCGCTTTTCACGTCGTGAGGACGTCCTAAAGCGCTTCACAGAACACACTGTAAAGTGAATTAACTGTATATTTGCGGGAGAACGCGGCAGCCTATTGCGCACAGTAACGTCCCTAAAGCAGTCGTAGATTGAAAATGACCAAACTTTATTATTGTTTTTGGTTTCTGGAGGGATTATTATTAGGCTCTGTGTGCAGTAAGGAAACTTGCCCAAGGTTTCGCCCTCTGCCTGGAATTGAACACAGGTCACTCGCTTGCAAACGAGTGCTCTAACCACTGAGCTACAGGACTCCACAAAACTTAAGCAAGGAAACTGATCCAAAATTGCACGCTGCCCTGGATTCAAAACAAGTTCCTATCTCTTGCGAGACGAGTTCCATCGCCATTGAGCTGCCGGACACGACGAATCGGTAAGTCCTGGATCAACTCAATGAATAAAAGGTGCAGAAATATATACAGTGAGTTTATTGCTTACCTGACAAGGTAATGATGGCTGTCACCACATAGATATACATTGTCATGCTTTTATAATGGCGCGGGGCGTTGAGTGCGCATTGGTGGTGAAGTTGGAGAATTTGACTGAATACCCTGAGGACAGCTGAAGTACAAATGACCTACATAAGTTGCCATATACTGTGAGGGAGGATGTCTGAGGGTTATGTACAAACTTTGTGTCTCTATCACTATGCGTCATGTTTTCTGCTCTACCGTCTCGCTCCTCCATTGGTTCTCTTCCATCACCGACATGTCTTTGTTCAATCGGTGACTGAAAGCTGCAGCAAGTTACACCCATATTTATGTTAATCAAAAGCTCATACATCAGCTCCAGATATGTGTGCCATCTGTGGCGTCCTGCAGTTCACTGCTTAAAGCTTTCGCCACACAAGCGAGAGATGTCGGTTCGATTCCCGACATGGTCAACTGCAGGCCAAGCTTCCTTACTCCACACAGACCTCCGTTTACCTTGCAGAAAGTAGGAATCTATTAGATAGTCGATTGCTGATTTACTTTCTGGGTATAAGAATCCCGTTTCGCCTATACGGTACTTTTCAGTATATTCTGCGAAGCGCACTGAGACATCTCAGAGGCGAGACAATTCACTCTGTCTAATGTCAAGCATTATTTTGATATAGACAGTCAAAAGAAGGCAGGACGAGGTATTCAGTGGAAGTTCCTGAGTATGTGCAGACGGCTGGACAATGGCCTAATGTGTGTTGGCTTCACATCCCTGGGGCCATGTGTCAATTTGGTAACCAAGTGAAACGAGGCATTGAGAAGGTTCAAAGTGAAAGGCTAGGAGCCATGTTACGTCAGCAGTTTCTCAGCTTTCTCTGGCCCAATTAGTTGAGAGTTTCCTTCTTGCCACTCTCCGCTCAAGGCTTTTGGGTTACAGTAGTTTGGGAACAAATCACAAGATTCTTAGCATAATTCAGTTCTACAAGTTACTGCGTTGTACGATTTATTTCGCTGTATAATTCTTCATATATTCACACTTATTTTTCTTAACCGGTGTGTGCCACATGTGGGGACACCCATCACCATTCTTTTGAATAACCAAACCAACCTGTGTATTATAATAATTGCCTTTGCGTTTCATATCAAGCCTTATCAATTACCGAGGAGTCCATAAGGTCTTCAGAAGTTTATCGCCCGTGTAATTTGTGGACAGCAACTAGCAGCTAAGTGCACACAGCAGCGTCTCGCAAACGGTCTTTGATCGAGTGTTTCACATTTTTGATCGATTAAAATAGACATCCAAACTTCTGTCAACCTGGTTCCTATTTCCGGCTCAGTAAAGACAATACAGATATAATAAACCGTGCATTTGATAGAGTGCTTGATCACGTCCTCGAGATATTATGCAGCATTTCGTAGGTTGTACTGTGAAGGGAATTGACTGTGTCTGTTATGGGATAAATGCGGCAGCCGAATGCACAGAGCAGTGTCCCACAAACTGTTGTGGAATAAAGAGAAATTTTATTTTATTTTTGAATAATTCTTACCCCCTGAAACTCGATTTGCCAATCAACTAACATCCAGGTTCCTACAGATTGCTATGTGGGCAGACGGATGAAGAGTAAGAAAACTAGTACAACCTTTTACCCTGACGGAAACCGAACCCAGGCTCTCTCGCTTGCGAGGCGAGTGCGCTATCCATTGAGCTGCAGTAATCCCAACATGTTTTTGTACAGGTGCCTCTCAGACACGCAGCACTGTGTCCTCCGCACAGAAGTAAGTGGCGGTGTCTGACACTCGCAGGTTTTCGATTGTTACGGTACAGTTTTTCTGTTTTCGCTCAGCCAAAGCTCTTATCCTGTCCGTCATATTTACGTCGGTTTTTCCCAAAAGCAAGAACCCAATGGAGCCGCTGCCATATTGTTTGTACCACTGAAAGGCGGGGCTGGTTACAGTGCTACTGCACTCCATAGAAACATTTCCATTTTCATTCACTGTCACGGCCTTTGGTGTCTGTGCGACATCGGTTGCGGCCAAGACGCCTGGAAAGTAAGAAGAAATGGACATTATTGAAAAGGAATTCGGAAAATATCTGCCACGACAATTTGTTAACATTTAGCAGGAAAAAAAAGCACTAGCTTGAAAACAACCATAATCTACTTACACGGTAGAAATACTATTAGATTCAAAGTAATATACTTTGCATTGTAATTCTGCTTCATTCTCAACAGCCGTGTCCATTCACATCCATATTTTCTGTTGAAATGCAAAGATAAATTATCTAAACGTAGCGTCTGGTTGATAAACGTTT